ATTTTGGCTTCATACAATGTTATGTCATTAAAAAATACATAGTGTTACAGTACGATAATATTGAATTATCTGGTAACTTTTAGAGGTTAACTTATGTTAATAAGTTTTCTTTAATTACTTTAAAGTTTCTAATTAATGAGTGTATTTAAATAATAAAATTTAAATGTTGTTCAGATTTCAATCTTACATTTAATAAATAATCCACATTAATTAAGTTGTACAAACTCAAATCTGTATACAATTTGACAATTCAAATTTCACACAAAATGTTTAATGAAGGAATAAAGATTAATGTAACTATTATCTACAGTGGAATTATCAGTGTATATCTAGTGAATATTTTGAGATTTTATAGTTAATATTCTTAGTTTAATTAAAGAGCTCAAACTAATGTCGATTGTAATAATGAGTTATAAGTTTATTTGTTTAGTTTTTACCAATACTTGTACAATTGAGCACCAATATAAGTATGAGTCACAAAAATAAAGAAAATTCCATAAGTGCATTTTGTGCTTCTTTGGACAGCATCAGGGCATCCCCGTGAGTTTGTGGAGCATTTTCCCCCTCAGGGCCGGAGAAGAACAGCATCTCTCCCGTATCTAACCTTTACCATCCTGCTTGGGTCCAATGGGTTTCGCGGATTCCGAGTACTGCCAACTTGTATCTCGCAATTTCCGTTGCCGTTTGGCTGGTCCTCTCGGTCTTTCACATTGTCCGGACGTTCCACGTACCTATAAAAATTGGTTGCTCTGGTGACTTCCGAAGAATCTTGGCTTTCATCATGAGTCGTCATAATTCTTCCTTCAACTTGTAGTGCACAGTTCAAATCGTTTATCATGGTTAGCGTTTTTTTATCAAGGTTTTTTTTGTACGGGATGGGGTTGCCGACCCGACGCCCAACCTTCCACCTTTACTCGAGTTTAGGAGCGGCAGTAGCCCTGGAAGAGCTACAGGCGGAGTTTTTTACATTACGGTTCCAGTGTAGTAAAGTGATCACTTATTTACTTTACCTACCCAGTCTCTGAGTCTCTGAGATGACATTCTTGAAAGATATCCATGCCACTGAAGCTGATGTATCAAGCTGTCAAATATTTGTAAAACACCAACTCATTGAGTTCCAGTTTCTGACCATGAATTTTTAAGGTTCATATTCACTTTATTCTCATTACTATTGAGATGAGGGCTATGTTTTTTTCTCTGACCTGTTTTCAAAATACCCAAAATGGTAGGAATACATATTAAATGAACGAATATAAAAATAATAGTCCTGTATGAGCGATGCACAATATATTACACGTTACGTCAGCTTTTCATGATAAGCGTTTACTAACTTTGTGAAGCAACTGAAACTTAGACCTAACTAGTAGACATTTTGATTTCCGGTTTATTACAAAAGTTATCTTTTGTCATAAAATTTATTTTGCTCATACACACTGACGTTTGTATGCGTGATGGCAATCTAGCCATTTATGTGTAAATTGCCCATCTTTCAGATGCAACATGGGCTTGTCTACACTGATACTATATAGCTGATAATTTTCGTAGATAAAACCAATGAAAGCAATGCTGATGAAGTACTTAATTGTTATTTCATACAAAAAACTTCAACTGAAAGTTATCTACTAATTGCATTTTAAATATTCTATGATATAAAAGGATTGCCAGGGTGTTCTACTGGAATTCATTTATTTGTCTGGCATTAATTTGATTGATCAAAATAATTCAAAACTGAAATTATTGTAGCACACAAAATAATGTTCAAAACAATCAGTTTGGGTAACTTTTTCCTATGATTAAAAGTGCAACACTAAATAGACATTTGCAAAGAAAAGTACCAATCGACCGAAATGTAACCGATGTTAACTTATATGGAAACAACGTTGGAACTACGTTTCCATTATCTATCACTGATTAATTACTAAGTATTTTTCTTAGCACCATAGAAAGGGATGATAAAAAGACTATTTAAGGAGAGGAATTCTGAACAGCAGATTTACCTTTTAGCAGGAAGTGTAATTCAAAAATTCGGGTGTCACTTGAATCTATAGAACTGTTGAGTAGTATAACTTAGTGAATACTATTCTTGCAAGCGGGTTGATGAGATGAACAACGTTTTGGTTTATAACACGAATTGGTCTTAGCTAAACGACCACTGAAAACTGAGAGACACTGAATGAAGATCCGTACTCGCGACCTTGACTTATGTGTTCAAAAAAATCGTGACGCCTATTTCGCTTTGTTTGACAGATATTACGGAATAAATCATTCTGATAATTTCTCACATTCTGTTCTTGTTTGTCAACTTCCTGCTTTTATATTCTTTACTACCTTATTACTTACACACCTCTTATTACGTAATTTTGGTTTTTAGTGATGATTATTTTTAGATCTATGTATCCAAGTTTTGACCTATTTTATATGTTGAAATATTGATTAGAACCTTTATTATTTGTAGCATTCTTACTTCCTACTAGTACACTTGTCTTCTCACTATCCATTCATACTTTTTTGCCTATTATATGTAGCTATGCCGTCTCTTACATTGTGATCACTGACTCATAAATTACTTTGATTGGTTTAATATTTCCATTTATCTTTAGAAATACTCCTGTTTATTAGAGTATGGGCTGCGGCGGATCTACTCAGAAAGTGAATTATTGTAAAATATACCTGTCTTTTTCCTCCAGTTACACTTATCTAACCAAGTCCTATTATTTTAACTAATACCATAAGAGAGGTTTATGGAAACTGTTGGATTTCATAGTTTACATCATGAACTGATCTTAGCTGAGAAGTCACACACTAGGACGAAACAGCTGTTTTGTGCTTCCTGGTCAGATCAGACTATTATATAAGTTATACTATGGTTTGATTAATTATTCATTAAAAAATCTGAAAAGTGTATTTTTCAACTGACTCCTTTATGATGCATAATGATAACAAAAAGTTAAATATATTTTACAATTTATTTTATATTAGAGACATGATTTTCTTTCTAAGATGTGGATACGAATAGATTACCTTTTTAGTTATTACATTATTGTACTTATTCTAATAAATTTCCAAATCACTGTTATTTATTTTGTAATCACTTTTACAACAATTTTGTTGATTGATGAAATTCTTGGAGTGAGTTAGGTATCTGCATTGATAATTTCCTCATGGTATTTATTCTCAAATCCTTGTTAAATAATTTTGGAATGATTATCAGAATGGGATTTTGTGGAGATTTTAGTAATTTTATACAGTTGACTAGCGACTGGCTCCATGAGGTATTTCCTGGAGTTCTAGTGAGAAGCAGTAACGAGTAGAGTTCAACCAGGTCTGTTGGCAGATATCAACTCACTGCAGACATCGGTGAATGGATGCTCAATTTCGTGGATTGGTTGAAGTAAGACATTAACACCGTTGGATGCCGGCTCAGTAGTCCAGTGGTTAAGCGATCGCGTGCGAGACTGGTAGGTCCTAGGTTTGAATCTCACGAGGCGGGATCGTGGACGCGCACTTCTGAGGAGTCCCACAATAGGACGAAACGGTCGTCTAGTGCTTCCAGGTTTTCCATGGTGGTCTATCTTCAAATGACTCATGATTTCAACAATATAAAATTTTGGAATGATAATATTATTGCTAAATATCTATGTGCATACGTATTAAGAAATTAATACTGTTATTTATGTATAGAATATTCAGTCAAAATATGATTCAGTTATGTCGTCTACAATAATAATAAAATGATTGTATTTTTGTAATATACCCACTAGTAGAAATTTGTATTTCAGACTTCATGACCGAATGTAATCTACTTCTTCAGAGTCAATAAGTAAATAAGCAAACGAAATAAATTCACATAAGTTTAAATGGTGCAAAAGAAACAAAGCAGAATACATTTTAGGACAATCAAAATGACAATAGGTCTGAGTATATCAATGTCATGTCACTTTTGGTCAAAGTGATTCTGTATGAGACATCACTATGTTTATTTTTGTGTATGTTGGTGGGTATGAAAAATGTGTAATTTCTAAAATGTTGTAATAGAGCTAAAATTTCAGTGTGCTTGTGTGTAGACTGTGTGGAAAGTGAAGAGTCAAATGTGATTATTTGAATAAAACGTCCAAGTTGGATGGACAGACAGACCTTTTTTCTGTTAAGAGTAGAGGGATTTAATATTGTATGAAGCACTTCAGTTAATCACCTCTCTCTATATTTGGAAAAACCTTTCTGAAGTCGTTTCAATGTTTTTAAAGTCAATTTGTTGATTAATGAAAATAACATGAACTGTTATTGCCGATTTAATTCATAAATTGTCCAGCTCTATAAGATTTTTAGATCTCTTTATGTAACTTAAGTGTTCCCTAGCACGAGTCGAGATTTTATGAGCAGATCCTGCAATATAGAACGTAGCAAAATGGACACAGCTTGAGCTGTTGACACTATTTTGTATGAATGTAAATGAGATCTTATCTTCATTTCTAACTGGAGCTTTCCAAAGACTGTTGAGTGTTTTATCGAAGGCTTTAATTTTTTTCCAGAGCTGTTGTAATTTTTCTGTTTTACCTTGGTGGTAAATGAAAACTACAGTACATTCAATAACAACACAGATTATTGATCAGTCAGTTATCCTTCCCCTACAAATATACCGTCAATATCTTAATTGGCTACTGAACAACATGAGCAGTTTGGCTACACCTTATGGGATCAGCATGTTCGACTATATTAGGCTAATCGTAATCCAGTATCTCGATTTCCATTATTCAAAGTGGAGTTCAATACTATTCTGTATGGGGAAAATTAGTCTGAACAGTCTGATTAGTGAATGCATCTGAGAGTTGTTTAGCAGTATAAGTAGTGTCTTGCTACTTGTAGCGTAAATTCAGTAGTATATCTCGTTCATCACATAAACTCTATCAATATAATGATTAGATAGTCACTTTTTGTTTCCACTAAATCATTTCTGACCATACTTTACTCCATTTCATTTTCTGATTGTTTTTCTTTTCTAGATACAATAGTGTATGTGAATTGGAGAGTGTAATATCACAGAATTATCCAGAATTATTAAGTCCATTTAAAATTGTTCTGAATGATTTCCGAAATGAACTTTTACAAACCAAAAAAGAAAAAATCGATTTGGAAGAAACATACATGAAGTAAGTAATTTATAATCATTTAATTCTTAAATAAAAAAGAATAATTATTAAGTTAAAATTATTAGTAATACTTTTATGTAATAAACAGTTTTTTAGTCGGTGAACTCTCGAATGAAGATTCAGTCAGTCAGTCACAACGTAGAACTTCGTACGTACGTACATCAGTTCGAGTTGCCATACAACATTAGCACAGAGATTCAGTTGTCGATTCAAATCCCGTAGTGGTAGAAGTAGTAAGAGTATAAACATTAATGTGAAAGATTAGGGTTTGAAGATGTTATTCAAGGAGTATAATCCAGTGAAATAAATTTGAAAAGAGAAAAAATATAAAGACATGGAGAATTCAGAAGATTAGAATTTGGTAGGATGCAAAGAGTGGATGCACCTTCACCATTTTATTCTCAACTTTATTCTTTATCATTAATAACCAAAAGCTCAGACAAAACAATCTGGCAACCGAAAATATCTTGCAATTTTACTAATGTTTAGATTATTGCATTATAAGGTGTATAACAAACCTATCCTGCTTCTTACACAGAACAGTTTTGCTTTCATTGTTTCTCTTATGAAGTTTTTTTCTGAATACTTCCTAAAATATTATAGTGTCATTTGAGATTATTTAGAATGTGGGAGGGTATAGTGAGTTTGTATTCAACTGGATATTCATCTTGCCTGTTTATTATGTCGATCTTTTACTTTTCCATTTCTCGATAAATAACGGATGACAAAATAATTTATGCAATATTAATTATTCTGTAATATTATTAGAATTTATACATTATTTTGAACAATCTGGTAACCTTATCAAATAGTTCAGATGTGAATATCGACTTACATATATTCACATTAATCTATCCATTGGTAAATTCAATTGTTAAATATTTCCCGATTGATGGAAATAGGAATAAGTTTTCGAAAATAAACATGCATAATAGGGGAAAACAAAATGTTGACTGAATATTGTTTTGTCATTTAATGGGTTCAAAGTTATTTTTCGTAAATTTTCGTAAATGTAGAATATAATAAAATCATTTCAATGATCATATGAGTTATAATTGGCTAGAAGCAGCAGACCAATGCATCCCAGTTTTCAGTTATCAGTCTGCAATCTAAACTATAAAACTTTAGAATCTCTACAAACCGCCTTGGTAATCTGATAGCAGTTAAAGTATCACCGAGAATTATTATCCCCTAGATTACAATATTTCATCAGTTAGTATCAATTCATGAATAAACCTAACTTTAAATTGAATCACTTTGTTTATACGCTATATGCCCATATAATTACTTATCTACATTTTAAAATACATTTTAAAACAATCTAGAAAATCTATACCATGTGTTTTAGTTTTCTTTCACAGTTGTAAAAATATTCAATGAGTCGTTTGAGTATATTGTTTATATCATTTGTGTATTATGCAAACTTCAGTATGACATTTTCATATTTTGACAAGAATACATACAAATCATGGTTAATATTTTTGTCAGATTACAAAGCATATTTGTTGTCGCCGTTTGTAAAAATTCAATCATAGTGATAATAATATTGATCATAGTAACGGACTGAATAATAAAGCTTACTTTTTCATAAATACGTTTTGAGGAGGCTTCTTGAAAAGTTGATTTCTATAGAATTGCATTAAAATTTCTTTTTTTCTTTCAAGAATTGTTTTATCATCAATAATATTGAATTAGCTAGCGTAAAGTGTCAACTTTTGGATGACATATCATCAGACATTTTTATAATTAACAATTTACTAGTGAAGTTTCTTATTTTTTAAAAATTTGATTGTACGGTTGACGCCTATAAAATTCACCATAAGATTTGAATATGTGACATAGTGTGTTTATTATAGAGTATTAACTTCTAGTTATTGTCATTGTGCAAATGGAGTGGATCATACCTACACAAAAAACACGGATAATCATAATCAGATGGCGATGACAGCTATTATAAGGTTGTTTCACAAACGCTTTTTGTTTCTTTAGGGATTAATGTTTTAAATGAGAGATTATCATATCCTCTGTTAGCTAAGATATCATTTTTGATTTACCGACTTATTAGCTACAGTTGAAAGTTAGTGTAATAATCATGGATTTCAACTAGATACTGTGTTACTTCCTCAAGAATCAAGGTAACTTAGAACTTCCTCACACAAGGAAATTAACAAAATGCACCATCGAGACAGGGCATAGATTTGTTCATAATACAGCTTTCAAAGCGTTGTATAGAAACTATTCACCGGAAATCTCCACCTAAGCTACAAATCTTTTCAACTATCTCAACTTCTTATTACTCACATGTTATATTTATTTCTTATCTCCTGTATTTCTACTTATCACTTTATATATTTACTTTGTTCTCAGTATTTCTTCGTATATAAATATGTTAACAATGATATGTGTAAGCAAATTCTTCAAAATGTATAGCAAAAATAAATCACATTTTTCAGATTAACTCCATCTTATCACTACACTATCAAAACAACATCTCATTATGGGTTAGTGGAGATTTTTGAATTTTATTGAGATCACAAACTGATCTAAGTTAGACGATCATAGTCGCTCAGCACCTTCGAGTGGTTGAAGTTAAACTTGTATGCCTTTGGTTCTGACTTGGTGGTCTAGAGATTAGACTTTTGCTCAGGACACTGAAGGCCTGGGTTTGACCCTAGTTCTGAAGTTGTGTATGTACACTGCCAAAGAGTCCCACTATAGGACAAAATAGCAATCTCGTGCTCTCAGGCTTTCAGGAGTTATCTAACTTTGATCGGTTCGTGATCTCAGTAAAAATAGAAATATATACTTTTAGAGAATATTTAACCATAAATACCTATGTAACAACCTTGAGTATAAATAAGTTTGTTGGAAACTTGAAAAGTGTCACCAATTTCATTAAACAGACTTCAATTTCTGTTCCTTTTGAACATCATAGATTAAAATATTTTTGTTATTGACATGTGCTACTTAGTATTTTAAAGTAGTAGAGGCAGTTTTTAAAGTTATCTCAAATGTTAAGCAAATCTACAAATGCTCTCAAACTCACTTTTTCAGAGACATTCATTATCACAACTTGCGATTTTCTCTAGCGATTCGAAGTATTTTCATGTAGCTGCATATGTAGGAGTAAAGACCAAATCGACGTTATGGATCTTAGTTACATTACTCAGTTAACAATCTTTGATAATTGATTGTAATGGTGTGACTGCTTGACATAAGTTATCTTACGTTGAAGCACCACTATGTAACGATTTACTAGCCCAACCTACTCTTACCTTGTGGTAAGGCTACTATGTTTGTTTAAGAATTTTAGAGAACGTACAGAACCAGTGAAACGTTTATTGATAGAACAGATTAGGAAGTACTAATGTATATAAACTGGGACTACGCTACTGCATGTGCTGGAGACGTCTCATTGAATGATGCATTCGCGTAATTCGCCCATCGATTTAAAAAGTTACGGAAAACCGTTCATCATTTATTGGTCAGATTTCTAAGGTATGATTGAGTTCACCTTGAGAAATAATTGGACTAGGGTTCACTGACCCTATACATTTACCAAAGAAATAAGCCTATACTCTGAGAGTAACATTGCCGAGACTATAATTTATGGACAACATTCGAGTGATCGTGTAGTAACCTTAGGAATTTTCAACCACTTAGTAGTGTCATAATGAGATCATTAATTAATGTCATCAATTGTGATCAGGTGTTAGAGTTCTTATCATGAATTGACATCATTTATGATGATGAAATACTATTTAGCTATATGGATTAGTGAATTTCGCGCCAAAATTCGAGTATCTTCGTCTTAATTTTATTGGCTCGTCCATAATTATAGACCTACCCTAACACTAGTTGTTTTATTAACCAGTTCATTTTTTGAAACAAAATATCAAATATATCTTTTAAACATATCAAACAAACCGTATTTAGCAAGAAATGCATTCCATATTTCAGAAAATGAAACAAATGAAGTAATTACTGCTTTATATGTATAAATATCCTATTTGTATGTTTGTGGTAAACGTTTGTTGGAGGTCTTATGATGATAACTTTGTCCATAAGTTTTTCATTTTCAGAGAAACAATTAAAATTAGGTTGAAACTAAGCCCTTCCTTAAAATATAAACAGCTTATATACCTATGTATTCCCCTTCTCATTATGTTGCCAAATTATTTAATGGTTAATATATATATATATATATATATTTATTTATTTATTTATATACTCTGAAGAATTGGTTTACAATAAGTCATGAAACGCAAGAAATACAATTTTTCTGCGCATTGGGATATAACGGAAATATACTTTATATTATTGATTGTTGAACATTGAAAACATGACGGACGACATAAACATTACAGTATCACGCACCAAATTATAAGTCGTCCAATGTTTAAACAAAATAAACAATAAACTCTAAACACTACGATCACAATAACAAAATTTCAACTAGTCTACACCAGTCGTACTATTGATCTTAGTACCGAATTGTTCAATAAACAAGTGCAACTGGGATGATGAAAGTCTTAAGAAGTTTAACATCGAAACAAACTTTCTTTTATCTGAATTAGTTTAACACTGAATTGTCATTTTAATATCAAATGTGTCATTTATAATTCTACCGATTATTTTAGTGAATGGATGTTAGTGTTTGCCCATATATATATATATATATATATATATATATATATATATATATATATATATATATATGCATAGGCCAATTTTTTTAAGAGCGCGGCAAGGTAAAACAGAAGCTAACAATAGGATTTGAGTACATGTATACATGGGAGGAGGATGAATCATTCTATGACATTTAAACAATCAACGTTTTAGCTAGCGTCTGTCATGTGCTCTGGTGATGATCGCAACAGTACAAAGAAATATGGGAATGGTTACTGTTGTTTGAATAACATTGTCTGTTAAGTAAGTTAATAAAAGGGCTTAATCAAAATTAACCACGGTCAAAATTGGTTGAAGGCTATTCGCCTATA